TGGTGGGGGAGGAAGCCGGTCAGACCTGGCAGACCCAAGCGTATAGTGCGGGTCTGCTGGGAACGTCTGCCAGAATCTCCTGTCAGAGGGAGTTTCAACTCCTACCTCCAGCAGAACTTCGCCCATGTCCCAGGGGAGGCGGGGGACATCGAGTTCGAATGGGCCATGTTCCACGCCTCCATTGTGGAGGCGGCTGACTGGAACTATAGCTGTAAGGTGGTCGGTGCTTGTTGCGGCGGCAATCCCTGAACCAGCTGGTGGACACCGGCGGTGAGGGATGCCGTCAAGCTGAATAAGGAGTCCTATCGGGCTTTTTTAGCCTGTGGGACTCTGGAAGCAGCTGATGAGTACCGGTGGGCCAAGCGGAACGCGGCTTCGGCGGTCGCTGAGGCAAAAACTCGGGTATGGGAGGAGTTTGGCGAGGACATGGAGAACGACTTCCGGGCGGCTTCGAGGAGATTCTGGTCCACCATCTGGCGTCTCAGGGTGGGAAAGCAGTGCAGCATCAACACTGGGGGTGGACTCGCCTATCTCTGGGGCAGAGGTTGCTGAGGTGGTTAAGAAAGCTCCTCGGTGTCCGGGCCCCGGGGTGGATGAGATCCGCCCGGAGTTCCTTAAGGCTCTGGATGCTGTGGGGCTGTCCTGGTTGACACGCATCTGCAGCATCGAGTGGACATCGGGGGCAGTGCCTCAGGATTGGCAGACTGGGGTGGTGGTCCCCCTCTTTAAGAAGGGGGACCGGAGGGTGTGTTCCAACTATAGGGGGATCACACTCCTCAGCCTCCCTGGTAAGGTCTATTCAGGGGTGCTGGAGAGGAGGGTCCATCAGATAGTCAAACCTCAGATTCAGGAGGAGCAGTGTGGTTTTCGCCCTGGCCATGGAACAGTGGACCAGCTCTATACTCTCAGCAGAGTCCTGGAGGGTGCGTGGGAGTTTGCCCAACCAGTCTACATGTGCTTTGTGGACTTGGAGAAGGCATTCGGCCGCGTCCATCAATGAATCCTGTTGGGAGTGCTCTGGGAGTATGGGGTGCTGGGCTACCTTATAAGGGCAGTTCGGTCCCTGTACAACCGGTGTCAGAGCTTGGTCCGCAATGTTGGTAGTAAGTTGGACTCATTTCCGGCGAGGCTTGGACTCTGCCAGGGCTGCCCTTTGTCACCGATTCTGTTCATAACTTTTATGGACAGAATTTCTAGGCGCAGCCAGGGCATTGAGGGTGTATGGTTTGGTGACTGGGCCGATACCTGGCAGATGAAATTTAACATAGACAAATGTAAGGTACTCCATGTAGGAAGCAGAAATATAAAGTACAGGTATTTTATGGGACCTACTGAAATAAAGGTAACTGTTTATGAGAAAGACCTTGGTGTGTATGTTGATGCTTCCATGTCTCATTCTCGCCAGTGCGGGGAAGCAATAAAAAAGGCCAATAGGATGTTGGGGTATATCTCCAGGTGTGTGGAGTTTAAATCAAGGGAGGTAATGCTAAGATTATACAATTCCTTGGTGAGACCTCACCTAGAATATTGTGTGCAGGTTTGGTCACCATATCTTAAAAAGGACATTGCGGCCTTAGAAAAGGTGCAGCGTAGGGCCACAAGAATGATTCCTGGTCTTAGAGGAATGTCATACGAGGAAAGGCTAGTTGAGCTAAATCTGTTCAGCCTCAAGCAAAGGAGACTGAGGGGGGACATGATCCAGGTCTATAAGATTCTAACAGGTTTGGATGCTGTTCAACCGAATAGTTACTTCAGCATTAGTTCAAATACAAGAACTCGTGGCCATAGGTGGAAATTAGCGGGAGAACATTTCAAACTGGATTTAAGGAAGCACTTCTTTACACAGCGTGTAGTCAGAGTATGTAGTAGTCTTCCTGATAACATAGTGCAAGCTGAATCCTTGGGTTCCTTTAAATCAGAGCTAGATAAGATTTTAACAACTCTGAGCTATTAGTTAAGTTCTCCCCAAGCGAGCTCGATGGGCCGAATGGCCTCCTCTCATTTGTATAGTTCTTATGTTTCCCTGCTGAGACTGCTGCCCCCACGACCCGACCTCGGATAAGCGGAAGTTAATGGATGGATGGATGGAAATTTGATTAGCCGAGCACACCACAAAATACTGTTTTGGTATACTATGGTTTGGTATACCTTAATGCAATATGCACTGAAGTCGCAGTGAAGAAGAGTAGCCACAACATCTTTTATAAGAGGAGATCTTGTGGATAAACAAGGTAAAAAGACATCGGTGGTATGGTGGTACTTTTTCCAGTTTAAAGTCTGACACGTTTATTAAACATAAGGATATGCCGTATTTATACTGATACTGACTTTTGGACGTCATACGATGCCTCATTAATATTTTAGCTGTACTACTAAACTGCTTAACAAATTGTGGACGTAAACAAACGTCCATATAATATCGAAAAGCTGGTGCCCAGCTAAGTGTTTTGCCTGTCATCTGAAGCCCTGGTGATTACTGCACATGTGCGACTCAATATCAATATGATATGGCCTAGCCCTATGTACAGTTCTGGTGGGTACAATGTTATCAACACAAAAGTTGATATAATGTGTAATGCAATTCCATCTATATCCATCCCATGTGCATCAAACAGTACATCCCAGTCTGTATCTTCAAAGCATTCCCTCAGTGCCTCAGTGTTCTCTGGAGTCCATCTCCTCACAGTCCTTGTTGTCAATGCTTGCTGCTGGACAAGGGACTTATTGGTCATATGCGACTTCTGCATTGGCCGAGGTGGGAATGTAAACAGCGAGCAATATGACGTTTGGAAAACTCTTTCGGCAAATAATAGATACCTCTGGCAATCTACTCAATGTCCAGGCTGCAGATCTGCTCTTTAACTGTGATGTGTCCAGCATTAAACCACCTGTTGTTTACAAGCATGGCAAGCCCACCTCCTTTCCTCTTACCGCACTGCTGGTGGTTCCTATCTGCCCGAACAGTCTGAAATCTGTTCACAGTCACGCTGGAGTCTGGAATGAGATCGTGCAGCCACGCCGCCGTAAAACACGTGATGCTTCATTCCTGACACTCACTCTGTGTCTTTGCCAGGACCACCAGCTCATCCATTTTATTTGTCAGAGACCGTACATTTCTCATGATCACAGTAAGGAAATACGGCTTGTATTTCGATCTTTTTATCTGCCATCTCAGACCTCCTCTGCTGCCCCAGTATCGCCTCTCAGTTCCTCTAGGATTTCTGCCCTCTGGTAAAATGAGTGCAGCTTCCTCGGGGGCGCAGCTGGTCCACCATGTAAACGATGACGGTTAAAGTTTGGTCGCACAGGTACTGGTGAAGAGTAGCAGTAGTAGCAGGACCAGAGAGCAAGTAAAAATGTAGTGCAGATTCCTTGTAGAGATTGTTAGATAATTAAAGAAAGATTAAAAGATCATTTAAAAAAAAAGAACTAACCACACGAAACATGGAAACCAGAGCTACTGTAACATGCAGCCACTTTCTGCAGCACCAAACTCCCCCCCAAAAAAAACACAGATGCTACAGAATGAGACCAAGAGGGGCCACAGTTTTTCTGGGCATGATGCATTGTTTAGTAACGTAAACATTACTGCACTGTAAAAAATAAATTCAATAGAATCCTGAATCGCTTCCACGGTGAACTACCGTATGAAAACATGCTATACAAATAAAGTTTGACTTGAATTAGTTTACAAGGGATATCAGCAACAGAGAGAATAATAAAGCAGGGCGACAAACAAAAATAACACAGACAAACATCACATCAAGACAACATTTGTAACACAGTCAGAGGACATATCAGAAGAGCAATCGATGGACAATCTCATTGTCATCTATCTGAGGCAAATTTTTTGTTACATGCTCAGTCGAAATGTAGTGTGCTACTGACATATTTTTGGCAAATGTGTAAAACTTATATCAACATATTTTTTCAGACAAATGGAACCCCACAGTAACCCTTCTAATTTTCACATAGCAATTGTGAAGGACTCTTGGCTTATGCCAAAGAAACTTTTTTGAAACCTTATTATGATTTGACATTGCATTGTTAAAAAATATAGATTTTCATTATTACTTTTAACATCATGTTTCACATTTTTTTTTAAATTAATTTGCTTTTATAGTACCCTACTGCAGAAATATTACATACTACTGGATGAAATAGCTTTGATGTAGTTACTAATGTTTTTTCTGTAGCTTGTACTGTAGCTAACTACTATATTAAAACAGTAGACTGGCTCTAGCTTTAAGCTATTTTAGCTTGTAGCTTGAAAAGCTCATTTTAAAAGTAGCTTCCTCAACACTGGTCACCCATACAACGCCTCTACAAAGTTTGAAAAAGATCCATCAAATGCTTTTTGAGTTATCTTAAGCAAAGGATCTGTGGTGGTGGAATGGTCACAAAAACATGTATCCGCCATCAGGGGAAGACAATGTAATATAGCTTTATTTTAGATTTCCCTTTTCAGTGGTGGATGGAGGCAGAAATAGTACTGAACAAAAGCTCTAGTAATATCTATCCATATCCTGTAATCGCTTGTCCTTCTCTGGGATTGCGGGGTTCCAGGGCCTATCGCAGAGGCTACGGGCACAAGGCAGGTAACAACCTATCACAGGCGGCCTCCACTAATATATAAAAGCCATTCTGACAAGTCAAAAAACTACCCTTTTATGCACTCACACAAAATATTTTCTACTGTGAAGAAGCAAAACTTGAGAAATATCTCCATAAATACTGTTTCTGTTCTAATACTTGATAATCAAGATATTTTGGTCAAATTTCTCATGCCCACCTAAAAGATTAAATTTTTCTTTGGACCACAGAGAAATGCACAATTACAATTGACTACCAACTGCAGTCACAAAACCCAAACACAACAGTGTCCATCAGAAAAAGCCAAACATCACTAAATTAAATAATTATATGTATTATATTAAGAGAGACTGCATTTTGGTGAATCATTAACACAAGATCATGCTAAAAAAAAAAGCCATACATACCTCTTGCAACTCTAGCCTCTGTGCCACAGCTTCCAGGCATTCCTGCCCGGTGCTCTCTACAGAAAGTGTTAACTCCACAAATTCGCTGTTCAGCAGCTGGATGCGTGTCACAAGGCAGCTCTTGCCGGATACTGTGTACCTTCTAGTTCTCTTTAGTTTGATCCCAAATGGTAAAGGCATTGTTCACTTTTCATTGGCAAATAGTCCTGCTGATTAATAAACACGTGTTATGTTTTACTACTATTTTCTGAAACTTCGACAATTTTAAATGCCAAGATCATCTTAAATAAATGTCCCAGTAATGCAGTTACTTCAGACAATAAAATTCCGAAAGAAACAAGAAACTGACATCAAGATAACAAAGTTTAAAAAGTAAAAAAGTTTCCTATTTTGGCTCTACGGCAGCCATCAAAAGCGGCTCACATGCGTTTTTGAACATTGTTTACAAATTGCTAATTTAGCTGTCTATGAATATATCTCACTTTACCAGCTCCTTAAGAGAGCATAGTTGTCCCTAGTGTAACTGTCAACTAGCGTTATATCGGACTTGTCAATTCGCCCTACGTACTTAGCTATATGGCAATACATGTGCACCAATCACAAGCTGAATTGCGTACAACGATTCAGCATTATTTTTTTATTTACCAGTTGTTTTTCCTGATATATAGAGACCGGACGAGTTTTAAACCTCAAACTGCAGTCAATATATCTGTGAATAATGACGCATATATCCGTTAAATATAGAAACGTTTCAAAAAGCCTAACCAACTCTCCACAAGTAATTGTACATGAATGTGGCTAGCTAAGTAATAGGAACTAAAAGTTCAACAGCCACCTCCATTAACTACTAGCAGTCTGAAAGAAAATTGTCAAATAACAGCCGTAAAGTCCTACATGCTTCAATATAATCAGCGATCAACAAAGACAAGTTTTAAGTTCGGAATACAGTAACATTTGACGATGCAAAGGAGTTTACAAATAATCGTCGGGTTCTTCATAATACTCTCATAAGCTACATTCTCCTACAACTTAAATACGAGAAACACAATAAGAAACTTCATTGTGTCCTGAACGCGGTAATAATAGACTGCACGTACAGATATTTGTAATATATATATATATATATATATATATATATATATATATATATATATATATATATATATATATATATATATATAAATGCATCGTTAATTCCTACACACACTGCTGGTACGTGCCTTACTTCCTGTCGTCAAGCAGTAAAAGTATACATCCGCGGATTTATTTTTTAAACCTTTTCCAACACGTTTTGGAAAGAACCTATTTTATACAATATAGCATAATCTACTATGTATTTACTTCTAATTACTTAACTCGATTTACAATATTAAAGCCGTGCTTTATATTTACACACTTTCCAGTGGCACAGTATACAATAAATCGAGGACTTCTTTTCGAAAGCATGACCTCAGGCGAATGGAATGCGATGACGGGAAAGCGTCAGCAGTGAGAAGGTTGTGTAGTGTTGCACCCAAGTTTGCTCTTCATTGTATATTCAACTTTTATACTATAGTTGTGTTTCTGCAAAAAGCCAAGCTATATTTGTGTGTGTGTGCGTGTGTGTATGTATGTATATATATATATACAAAAACATGTACAGGATTGTATCTGCAAACAAGACAATCTAATCCCACTGTGCACATGTTCATGGGAGCTTTTGGGCAGGGATGATGTAAAGTGCTTTGAGACAATGTAATGTTGTGAAAACCCACTATACATAAATAAATGTTGTTGTTTGTAGATAAATCTGGAGTCTGAAACAGGATGACACCTAAAATGTTGCTTTATTTGCCATTGGCAGGAGTATACACTGGAATGCTACTTTTTGTATACCCCATCTTTTGATCGGGATGCTCAGCCACACACAACACAGGATGAACTGGAAATGCAGCAGCAGACCAGTAACATGGAACACACAGTCACACACTATATGCAATTTTGGGGATGCCTTTAAAATACACACATTTTAAAAACAATACTATAAATACATATCTTAATTGGATTGGGTCCACAATCACAGGTAGTAACTGCAGTGTACAAAACAGCATGACTAGCATTTACACAGACTATTTGGAGTTTTAAGCTTCTAAATAGGTTTATGGAGGATGTAGAATCTACTGTACAATTTAATGTTATGGTAGACGTGTTACATTATATACTGCACTGACTTTGGGCACCTACAGCTGTGCTGAGGGAAGATTTTATCTGTCAATTTATCCTCAGGATTCAAGGCCATCAGGACTTACTTGCAGTGTTTTATAGACAGGCTACTTTGTATGCAAGTTTAGAGCCACTTCAAATGTTTTACCATTCACTATATTCCATTGCAGAATAATAAAATAATTATTTTTTAAATCTAATAATAAAATAATACAAATCTAATAATAAAAATCTTTTAACCCACTAACAAATAGCCTTGTATCTGTGGTGGGGCGGGACCCAGGGTAGGCCCAAGCTGAGGCCAACATAAACCAAGTACAAGTCATATGCCGCGTTACAACGTTTCGCTGAACAACGGACCACATATATGACAGTGATCCCATTAGATGACACAGTAATGTAGGTGAAAAATTCCTATCGCCGTGTGATGTTATAGCTGTTGTAACACATTACTCACACATTTGTTGTGATGCTGTTGTAAACAAACCTACTTTGCTGCCAGTCTTACATAACATATATGACATATACAATTATGTACAGTGTATAATACTTGATAATATCATAAACGACTATGTTACTGGTTAATATATTTACTATACTGTACTCCTTCTACTTATAAAAAAAAAAAAAGTTTAATGTAGCCTAGGTGTGCAGTAGGCTGTATCATCCAGAGCAGTGTTTCTCAACCTGGTCCTCAGGGACCTCCAAACGATGTTTGTGTTCTCTCCCAGCTCCCTGCCCGACAGTCCACATATTTCTTGAGAGAGAGCAAAATGTGTACTGTCTAGGGATCCCCATCTTGAGATACACTGGTCTAGGGGGTTGTATGACGAAACACTTCCTTAGCCAGTCGTAAGTCGCTGACTATAGTTTTGGAAAACGTACCCCATATCGAGTATGCTTGCAAAACAATTTGAACACCATTTGGCCACTAGATGTCACTCTGATGCAATATTTTGATGTTTCAAAAGCAACTCTTTTTTTCGAAAGAATGTTTGCACCTATATATGTCTTTCATAACCCCTATTTCTTTTTTCTATGGAAAACTAGAAGACTGAAACCAACAAAAAACAACATTAGGGCCGAAGTTCAGTCAGGTTACTGATACTAGTAGTACTTCCAGGGTGACTTGAAGGCCACGAGTGCATCCACAGTGACTATGCAACCCCGCTCCCCCTTATGGACTGGAGGAGATATCACATTACAGAAACCTAACGAAGTTTCAACCATCCATGCCTGTCTTCATAAACTGAAATACACACTGAGCGGTCCATATAAATTAGGGATATGCATCTTTGTCACTGAGGTCGAACTGACATACATCTCGATGCATTGCCAACAATCTGAAACATTAAAGATATATATGCGAGACGATATGATTATAATACAACAACATGCAATATAAAACCTCCTTACATAAAACAAGAAATACCACTTACCAAGATTACATTAATTTTAGTGTCAGCTGCAACCCCTATTGTGATTCCTTTGGTCCTTCTTTATAGAGGGATTATTGGGACTTCATTAAATAAATAAATGACTAAAAAGTGTTTTTTTTTTAACTTAACATATTTGTGTCTCTAGTATTGTAATTCAGTAAGTATTACATATTAATAAATAGGATTCTACTGATGTAAATATAATAAAATAATAAAAACGATGTATCCCATTGTCACGTTTGGTGATGAGGGTGAGCAGGGAAGCAGGAGAGAGCAGCCAGGTAGTCAGGGAAACGGGGTTTATTTGGAGGAAGACGGACAGGCACGGACATCGACGGACACTACACCCATGTTTAACTCCAAAATGTATCCAGCACACACTTTTTTAAATTGGGGCAATCACTTAATGAACTTTCATGAAACAGTGAATCTTACCATCCCTAATATACATACTATACATATACATACGTAAATAATATACAAACCCCATTTCCAGAAAAGTTGGGACACTTTCTAAAAATAGTATAAAAACTAAAATTTGTAATTTGGTACTTCATTGAACCTTTAGGCAAAAGGACAAAGAAAAGATTTTCAGTGTTTTCACAGACAAACTTAATTCTATTTGTTAAGCATAAACAAATTTAGAAATTGATACTTGCAACACACTCCAAAAATGTTGGGACAGAGGTAAAGTAAGACCGAAAAGGCCATGCAAGTAACATTCCGGCAGGTTCCTCAAGTAGCAGGTTAACAGGTATGTGTACGAAGATTGGGTATAAAAGGAGCATCCAGCAAAGGCTCAGTCTTTGCAAGCAAAGATGGGTTGTGGCTCACCACATTGTGCTGAACTTCCTGAGAGAATTATCTGTCAATTTAAAAACAATGTTTCTCAGTGTGAGATAGCAAAAAATTTAGGTCTGTCACCGTCTACAGTTAATAATATTGTGAAAAGATTCAGGGAGTCAGCAAAAATCTCTGTGAATAAAGGCCAAAGGCAGACACCGCTGCTGAATGTGCGTGACCTTTGAGCCCTTAACAGTATTGCATTAGAAACCATTATGCTACCGTGAAGGACATAGCCACATGGGCTCAGGAATCCTTCGGGAAATCATTGTCCACGACCAGTTCAGATCAAGGGAGAGCAGGTGGAGGTGGTGCACAACTACCTCAGGCTGTGGGTGGACAATAAACTGGACTGGACATACAACACACAGCACCTGTACAAAAAGGGCCAAAGCAGGCTGTACTTCCTGAGGAGGGTGCGGTCCTTTAACATCTGCAGGAAGCTTCTGTGGATGTTTTACCAGTCTGTGGTGGCCAGTGTCCTTTTCTTCAGTGTGGTGTGTTGGGGGAGCGGCACAGTGAAAAAGGACTCATCCAGGCTGGAAAAACTGATCAGGAAGGCTGGCTCTGTTGTCGGCATGAAGCTGGATACTCTGGCCACAGTAGCAGAGGAAAGGACTCTGAACAAACTGCTGGCCATTATGGATAATGTCAAGCACCCTCTGCACACTGTCATTAAAAACCGGAGGAGTATGCTCAGTGACAGAATGCTACTCCTCAAATCCAGAACTGACAGACTTAGGAATTCCTTTGTCCCACATGCCATCAAACTGTTCAACTCCTCATTGAGGTGCAGGAGGGGGAGCAGGAGGGGGGACAGAAGGACATTTAATTGACTGTACAATAGACCAATTAACCCATGCAATAATTATTTATTAGTACCATCACCCCACCGATATTTATTACTTCTCCCTATACTTTTCTATCTATCTGTCAGATGAGCTCGGGCCCAGAGAACTCACCGATGTTTCTGCACAAAATTCATGTATGGCTTCCTCTTTGGATAATACAGTTTCAGGGAGTATTTGTTCATGCAGCAGCGTAATGTGTTAAGCGACAAGATTAGATAGATAGATAGATAGATAGATAGATAGATAGATAGATAGATAGATAGATAGATAGAGAGATAGATAGATAGATAGCCTCTTCTGTACAACATTCGTCCAAGATAACTTAATAAATACGTAAATCCTCATGCATTCATTCTGGCCCCTCCTCCTTTGCCCCCACACCCCTTTCTTCGATAACACCAGAAATTATATCATTTCATTTCAGCATTCAATAACATAATTGCCTTCGGATAAAAACTGTTTTTTAACCGGTTTGTCCTTGATTTTATTGCTCTAAGTCTCCTGCCCGAGGGCAGCAGCTGAAACAGACAGTGTCCTGGATGTGTTGGGTCTTTAAGGATTTTTTTTTGCCTTTTCAGAGCAGCGGGATACATAAAGTTCTTCTACAGTGGGGAGAGTACAACCAGTATTTTTCTGAGCTGCAGTGATGACTCTCTGGAGCGCCTTCTTCTCTGCAACTCTGCAGCTGTTATACCACACACACATGCAGTAAGTTAGTACGCTTTCAATGGAGCAGCGAGAGAAGGTTACCAGCAGCTTCTGGGAAAGGTGGCTCTTC